ATCTCATCAGTCCCTGAAGCTTGTGCATCAGTAATGTACTGCATAATATTATTTATTGTTTTACTGATGCTAGCTGTGTGTCTCCTGTGTGTTAGTGGTTAGTGATGACACTGATTGCCATGGCAATGTTACTGTTTCCGACTAATCCATTTCACCTGCTGTAAAGTAGTTCCTGGCTCACCCTTGAAGAATTCGTAAAGAGCCACAATCAAGAGAAAAACAAAAAACCCAGTACGAACAAATACAAGTCCCACTGAAACCTTCCCAAAAATATGAATTCACAGAAGCATATATATATATATATATAGAGAGAGAGAGAGAGAGATTTAAGCCCAGAGGATATGTATGTTTATGTATATAAGCGATATATACATGCATACATGTACTCATACATAAGATGCCTATATGAGTAGACAGAAGCTATTGTTTCAAAGGGAGCAAACGCAGTATTGATCTGCCAGAAGACAAATGTATTGATGATGTTTGACTGAATTTTCAAAAGAGGTTGCAATATGTGTCCCCAAATAAATAATTTATACCATTTGACTCTTTTTCCACACGATATGTATGCTCTGTTGCATTGGGGATGGTTTTTCCTTGAATGGAGACCTCAGTAGGGATGTAGCTGTAGATAATCACTTCAATACAATTTTCCTTTAAGATGCAACAGACCTTTCAGTGTTTTGCAGTGTTGCTCTATGGTCATTCTGGGCTTGTCTTTGAGTGAAAGCAAATATTGTTATTCCCAGTAATTCCAACCATTAGTACTCAAATCTGAACTGAAGGCAGATATAAAAGACGCAGATCAATGCAGCTCTGTAATCATCAATACATCCTTAAATGTATTTTGTAAATGCAAGCAGTGTAAGTACCTGAATTGGACTTATCACCCTCTTGCAATCCCTGTACAACAGTGTTTAGAGAGCATGAAGGAGAAGCAGCACACAGAGTCAATCAGGTGTGTTGCAGTGCAAGGAGCATGCTGATTGGAGGGGCAGAGTGACAGGGAGATGAGCTTAACAGTGTCCTGCTTTTCCTTTCACTTTACAGTAACAGGGTGAGGGTAGGAAGGAGATCTGTAAGTGAAAGCGAAGCTGCAGCAGAGAGAGATCAGGTCCAATCACCTGCCAGACAGGTATGTGCTGTATAAATCTTTGTCACATCTGTGCATCATAATGTGAGCACCAAAAGCATGTTTATTGGCACCCCGTTGTTTTCTTTGGGTCTGGTTCAAAAATATGCCTTTCATTGCAGTGTGTCATGGAAAAAAGATCAGGTATGTTTTTTTTTATTTGTCAATGGCCCACAAAAGTCAATGTAAGACGTAGACTGTCTGGCCAAAAAAAAGTCGCACACTCTAATATTTAATTGGCCCTCCTTTAGGTTTAATTACGGCACACATTCCCCGTGGCATCGTTTCGATAAGCTTATGTAATGTCACAACATTTATTTCCATCCAGAGTTGCATTATTTTTTCACCAAGATCTCGTAGTGATGATGGGAGAGTCGGAGCACTGTGTAAAGTCTTCTCCAGCACATTCCAAAGGTTCTCAATGGGGTTCAGGTCTGGACTCTGTGGTGGCCAATCCATGTGTGACAATGATGCCTCATGCTGCCTGAACCACTCTTTTACAATTTGAGTCCGATGGATCCTGGCATTGTCATCTTGGAATATGCCCAATGTGCCATCAGGGAAGAAAAAATCCATTGATGGAAAAACCTGGTCATTCAGTATATTCAGGTAGGCAGCTGACCTCATTTTTTGGGGACATAACATTGATGAACCTAGGCCTATTATCCAGTGGAAGGCTCTGACCTATTTTCTTAGGTGGTCTAGCCAGGTGGTGACTTTTTTTTTCTGGCCAGGCAGTGTACATGTGTTGTGTTTTATGCAATGCAAATGCATGGTTACTGAGACTGGCAACCGGCTTTGTGTTCTTGGCCTAGCTACATGTGGAAAATGGCAGGCTCTTCTCACACCTCCATAGGTGCCGAGTACATAATGCGATGGAAGCCCATAGATGTACAGCCAGCCTTAATGCGCCACGCCCCAACTGGAAAATGTAAAGTAAAAGTGATAAAATTCTAAAACATTTGAAGAAAATTGTGGAAAAAATCCTTACCTTACACCTCAATTTCCTGTACATCCACCTACGCAAGTGTGACACCCCTGGGGCATCTCAAAGGATCTTGGGAAAGCTGAAGCTCCCACATCCTGTGATAATGCTAGAGCATCTACTCATGAGATTTGGTACCTTGAGCTTTCCCAAGATCTTGCAGTGGGACCCAGTGACATCACCAGTGCCTAGAGGAAGCTGCCGGAAGATGGAAAGTTTGTTTCACATTTTTTTTTTCTTTTTTTTCTTTTAAAGCTTTCACATTTTATATTTGGAGGGGAGGTCTGCAGTATAATCCAATCCTGCACTTTCATGGCCCACTTTAAGGTTCATGTTTCCCAAGGACACCTCAGACGCAGGGCACACAAGGTTGTTGGATGGTTTCTGCGCTGGTAAAAAATGTCATGTTCACACATTTTTTTACCTAAAATAGTAAATGATGCATCGTAAATAATACATTGGACCACGTCAGGATCTAGAACAGCAAAGTTTTTAGGACACATCTCTAACACCCCGCTCCACTCCCCTTGACCACTATTACCAGCAAGTACTAGCTGTCAAAATGCAGCCACCTCTGTGTAGAATGACAATAGCAGTCTGCGAGTGTCATTGAGTAAATACAATGAATAGTTTTATTGTATTTACAATTTCGTTCATATGTAGATTAAAGGTTGTCTACATATGAATACAATGGTAAATATAATCTTATCAAAGCAGAATTTATTAACCCTTGCAGTGAAGCTACCCCACACTGTAAGAGTCAAGTGTTTTTTTTTGTGTCTAGGGACTATAAAAAAAAAGGTATACTAACCCGAAACTGGTATCTTCCTTGGCATCCTCTCATCCAATACACAGTGTAATGGATGTGATGACTTGACCACTGCAGTGGAGGGAGAATGCGGCTGGAAGGATCGGTCTAAGAGCCGGCCAGCTCCAAAAAACGGGTGAGGATAACTTTTTTTTAATTTTAGTCCCTAGAGACAACCGGGCAGTTAAGGTTAATAAAGAATGTTGCCTGGAGTTCTTCTATAAAGGTAAAAACGTTTTCTTTAAATAAGTGCATTCCTATTTAACTCATTAACCCTTAGTCAACCATAACTAGTCCTAATTAACTTCTCCCCATAGCTGTTATTTTTATACCGTAATTATTTTCTTTTAATTAATAAAAAAATATTAAAACATTTTTATTTTTTTTTCTATTTTTTTTTGCTACTTTCTTAAGTTTTCCACCCTCGGCTTATATTCGGGTCAATACTTTTTCCCAGTTTTTTTGGCTAAAATTAGGTACCTCGGCTTATATTCGGGACGGCTTATACTCGAGTATATACGGTATTATTTTAACTTAAGTAATGACAACTAATTGAAAAATGTCATAATGAAAGCTATTGCCAAATAAACAGGCCCATAGAAGAAATTTAAAATTCGCTCTGGTCTATGAGGGGTATACAGGTACAAGAGCTGAAGAGGTTAAAGAAACGTAAGCAAAGCACAGAAATTCCCGATCCCATCCCACAGAAAGCCATTTTGTTAGCCGATGTGAGTTTTCTAATGGCGAGCTCCCAGCTGAGGTAGATGATACTGCTGTAAGCCTGAGGCAGTCTTCGGTCATGGGGCGGCGAGTACACTGCTGGATTCTAGAAGTACACAAACCTCTTTACCTTGAAATGTGGGCTGCTTGTAGTCGCTTTTTAAAGTTTTATATCCAATTCTGGATTTTCCCGCATGTGTGCCGTATTTTTTGGGAAGAACAGAGATATTGGAGCTGCCAATGCTAACTTGTATTTAAAGCGTTTGGCCGCTCATCCTGATCCTGCCTATACTACCTAATAAATCACAGGCCCAGCGTAAGCTAGATAGGAGTTCAGAGTTTTGCCTAGGGAATGATGAATAAGGTGATCTACTCATTCCTCGCTCCTGCAAGCTTCCTCCTCTTCGTACAGCCAGTCCCTCAGTCGCAGCTCTCTGACGCCATCCATACAATGCAGTCCTACTTTGTAAGGGAGGAAGGCAAGAACCTGCCCAAATCCAGAGCGTCAGCTGCCAAGAGAGCGAGGAATAAGGTAAGTATATCACCATTCATAATCATTAAGTAAATACACTGACTGGCCACAAAAAAAAATAACCGCCTGGATTTCGGGCAGCGTTATGATCTGGGGTTGCTTCAGTTGGTCAGGTTGAGGTTCGGCAACGTTATGTGGCCAGAAAATGAGGTCAGCTGCTACCTGAATATACTGAATGATCAGGTTTTCAATGGATTTTTTTCTTCCCTGATGGCACATTGGGAATATTCCAAGATGACAATACCAGGATTCATCGGGCTCAGATTGTGAAAGAGTGGATCAGGGAGCATGAGACATCATTGTCACACATGTATTGGCCACCACAGAGTCCAGACCTGAACCCCATTGAGAATCTTTGGGATGTGCTGGAGAAGACTGTACACAGTGGTCAGACTCTCCCATCGTCACTACAAGATCTTGGTGAGAAATTAATGCGGCTCTGGACGGAAATAAATGTTGTGACATTACATAAGCTTATGGAAACAATGCCACGGGGAATGTGTGCCGTAATCAAACTAAAGGTGCTCCAACAAAATATTAAAGTGTGTGACTTTATTTTGGCCAGCAGTGTACAAAGAATCATTGCATTGTTTCATTGTATTTATTTTTGTAAAAGGCAAAACAAGCAGTTCGCAGTTACAAGGGTACAACATTTTTATTCCTGGAATTTAGCTTTAAGTGGCTGCATGCTAGTTTCAGGTTAGTCATTTA